GGCATCTCCAATTGTCTCATTCATTGAACTAGCTTGAGGGCTTATACCATCAGGATAACAGAGCGCCAAATGATTTCGGGCTCCTCTGACCAGTACTTCTCTGCAGATGTTCTGGTACCCTTCGGCTAGCTTCTAGCCAATGATTAATTAAATCAATTAAATTAAAAACAATGGCCTTTACAGGATCTTCAGCGAAAACCGTTTCACAAGACTTTTAAATGACTCCTGGTCATGTGCTCGCCTTGGGCACATCCTGCCAGATGCACAATTTCGTAGAGACAAAGAGATCTCTAGAAACATTAATGCATATGAATAAAAGACAATCTCTTAATGTCAGAACTAAGGCAGATGTATCTTTGAATAATATGCCATAATGTTCCTCGTATGCTTATTATTCCAATCAACCAGGTTAATCAATGTGTTGTTTTAACCCTTATAACAGAGTAAAATGATCTGTATGTGTCTGAGATGTATGATGTCTGGTATTGAACGAAAGCTAGTGACATTTGCAATACAATGGTGTAAATGAAAAACTAGTAGTACAAACAGTATTCATCTTGTAACATTTGATGTAAGAGTTTCAATCTTGCAAGAGTTTTACCACATGAAATCTACATGCAGTCTGTTAATTATTGACCCTTCCTACGTCAGTATGGGGTGTGGCCCCGCCCTTCATGGCAACCGCTCATTGGCAGACAGTGCCATAGGGACGAACTAGACCAGGTCACTTAAAACGCGCTGCAACAAAGAAACTTTGCTTTTTGCATTAGCTGGCTTGCGCATGCTTTTGCTCTCTGCCCCCTTTCGCCTGCTCGGACACCGCGCCGCCACGCGATTGGGTCACTCTGCTTTTGTGGTTTCTCAGGTGTTATTCTAAGATCTTGCAAGAAGTATTAGAATTAATTTGGGACGTTGTCAACTCATTTTGCATCCTCTGAACCTCCTCTGTGTATGTGTGAATGTGTGTGTGCGTTTTGTTGTTTGCTTATTACGTAGTTAGTTTCATGTATCGTAGTGTAGCTCAATAAATCTTTGTACTCATTTTGTAAGAACTGTGTTCTTGTTTATGTGCTTCTAAGTCATTGCCTCGAGCTGTAGATCTTGTTACCTTGCTAAAAGTTAGCCCAATACTGTGTTATGTTATTATCGTTGGCCACGTAAAAAATATTAACAAGATTGGTAAGATATGATGTCTTCTATTTGCGGGACAAATGGTAGTTAAAGTGTGAATCATTTGATCTGATTCAGTCAGACTCAATTGAGTCGAATCAATGATTTGAATCTTCAGGGTCCGATTCATTGAAATGAGCTAATAAACCCCTGATCGATATTAAAACGTAGGTTGATCCCCTACATACTTAAGTCATTAACCTGATAATTCACATAATTTTAAATTGTACTCTTAGCTGTATTTAAAAGAAAGTTTAAAGACCCTTTAATATGGATTCAAAAAGAAAACCAAACTGGTCCAAGTAGAAAAAGTGTTCTAGATGACATCCAGGGGGAACATAATTTTGTTCAAATTACCCAGTGAGGCTCAAAGAACCAGAGTATTATGTGTTGACCCTAGCCATTTTGGTACATGATCCTGAATCTTGTAATTGGCATCAAACACAACTTGAAGATTGATGCTGTAAAATCTTTTTCTATTGGCATATGCCTCATTATCAGTCGGAGCAATGGTGCAAACATGAGTGCCATCAAAGGCTCCAACAACTCCAGGAAAGCCCGCAATCCTCAAAAAAGCTGCTCGCTTTTGCTGTATAGTTTGGAGGTCACTTGGAAAGTGACCTTTAAGACGCAAACCCCTCACTGCATGACAGCTGCACCTTCAGCAAACCTCCTAATTCCTGCAGCATGAGCATTTTATGATTGTTTATGAGCGTCAAAAGTGGCTGATCTGTTCGGCGAAAAATTTGACTGTGTCACTGCATATAACACAATTTAAACAATAAAACTAAAGAAATCTCCACTGTTCTGAACGAGAGCGTTTCTAACTGCACAGCGCATCAAGCGTGCTACACAAGCGTGCTTAGGCGCGAATGAAATGTGAGTCCAGGCTGTCTGGGGAGACGGGAGGAGGAAGCTTCGGCGCGAATGAAATGTGAGTCCAGGCTGTCTGGGGAGACGGGAGGGGGGACAAGCGTGCTTCGGCCTGGTTCAAGGCAACTGTACTGTACATAGAGTGAGTACCCAGGTGAAAAAAATATATTATTAAATGCAACTAAAATACACTTAAATACCCGCAAATACATTTTTAGTACATTGTTATTTTTTGTGTTGAATAAAAGTTTGATGGTTTTACACTATAAATATACTAATTAAAAGTATGTTTATACTTCAGTAGGACTTTAGTACACTTGACAAAAGTATACCAAATACCAGTAATACTTAAATAAATTTTTAGTGTACTACAATAAAGTACACTACAGAAAAAACATCCAAAAGACTTTTATTAGTGTGTTTTCCAAAGTGTGCTTTAAATGCATTAAACATTAGTTGATTTTTAGTACACTGTTTACATACTAATCCTAGGTTTAAAATAAGTTAATATATAATAAATCTATTAGTAATGTATTGTAGTAGAAGTACATTTTCCCAAATGTTGTACTTAAGTACACTTATTGTGAATGCAATATTATCACTAACACTTAAATAGATTTTAAGTATGGTAGTTTTAAGTTTATATTAAATTGACTTTATTAAAAATCTATTAGTAATGTATTGTAGTAGAAGTACATTTTCCCAAAATGTCTTTACATTTCACATATGTGCTGTAATGTTGCATCTTATTTACATTTTTGTGCTCTCTGTATTTGCTAAGTTTTTGTTCCCTCCCATAAGGTATTTTTGGACTTGTGGTTTATTGCAAACTCTGTCCTGGAGGGCCGGTGTCCTGCACAGTTTAGCTCCAACCCTAATCAAACACACCTGCTTATAGATTTCTTGTGATCTTAAAGACACTGATTAGCATGTTCAGATGTGTTTGACTAGTGTTGGAACAAAACTCTGCAGGGACACTGGCCCTCGAGGATCAAGTTTGCCCAACCTTGGTTTAGAGCAGTGGTCACCAAACTTGTTCCTGGAGGGCCGATGTCCTGCAGATTTTAGCTCCAACCCTAATCAAACACACCTGAACAAGCTAAGCAAGCTCTTACTAGGTATACTTGAAGCATTCAGGCAGGTGTGTTGAGGCAAATTGGAGCCAAACCCTGCAGGGACACCGGCCCTCCAGGACCGAGATTGGTGACCCCTGGTTTAGAGGGTAAATATGCAACCAGAGATTTATCTAAAATGAGTGGAAATAACATAATAAATAAGCTCATAGACTGTAAGGCAAGTTTGTACAGGACATACAAATTAAGAAAATAATGAATAAACATTATAACCGATGTTGGGTTTGTTTTTACAATAAAAGTTCATGTTAAAAAAAAACAAAATACTTTATTCATCTTCAATTGGTTTTCCACCTGACTTTTTTTCTGTGGAACACAAAAGAAGATGTTTTGAAGAATGCTGGAAACTGGAAGCTCATTTACATGCATAGTATGCAATATTAATAACGGAAGTAACTGGATTCCAATATTCTTCAGAATATCTTCTTTTGTGCTTACATTAAAGCAAATGCTAGCACACAGTAGCCTTTAGCATTGCATATACAAATGTTTTCCATTTAATATTCAATGACCTGAGAGGAGAACAATGACACCTCACTAAACACAGTTTAAAAAAGGTAATGATTGTCAATCTAATAGAACTCCCATAATTCATGGACAGCATCATGGTGCAAGGAGAGAATAAGGATATGAATTGAATTTATTCTAAAAGATGCATTTTGAAGGGCCCTTAAATGTGCTGCAATGTACATTTTCAGTTATTACTTGAAAATGGTGTAAACATGAAAATATGAAAGTGTGGTTTCAACTAGGGCTGGGTGATATGGCAAAAATACAAACTCACTATTTTTGTTCCATATTGAACAATAATGATAAATTTCTATATAAGTTGTTTATTCTTCCAGCTTTTAAAGTTATTATCCCAACAATGACTGATGCAACAAAACGTAGAGGGCTCAATTAATTACAATTTAAAATATTGTTTACTAGCGATAACATATTACACATTTGGCCTTAAATTAAACAAATAGTAAAATACATTTAAAAGACCAATCTGGCATTACGAGGTAAATTAAAAGTGCAAAACATAAACAATAAAAATGTACAGTATAACTTCCAGCAAGTGGAAGGGCATTCGCTGCGTAAAACATAAGCTGGATGAGTTGGCGGTTCATTTTGCTGTGGCAACTCCTGAATAATAAAGGGACTAAGCCGACAGGAAAATGAATCAACTTCCAGCAAGTCCACACAAACTATAAAACTTTTATAGTTTTTTTAGGATAATTTTTTTAGGTGATGGAATATGCTGGTTGTGTTACCAGACTTGGTTCACAAACCATTGTAATTCTTGACAGATTTTTTACAGATTGTTTTAATCTGCTCCTTGTCACACTTCCATGTAACAGAATTTGTGCTTCCTGTTTTGTTGAAAATTCAAACATCTTTGGATAATAACTCTACAGTGGTTTACTTTTGTCACTGCTTCCACTCATCATCATTTCTTTATTTTTGTCATCTTGTTGAGTTTGTTTGCAAAGTGTGGTACAAAATGGTCTTTTGACCTCATGCTGATTGTTTGTTGTCTCATATTGCTCAATTTTGAGTAAAAATGTCCAGAGTTCATCATCGTTATTGAAATAAATTTTATCGTAATCCGATGATACCGTTTGTTGGCCCAGCCCTAGTTTCAACAAAAACACTTTCTGTGTTAACAAGACAATTTTGAGTTTTAAAAGCTGATGTTTTCATAGTACTGACCTTTTATATGCCAAACTGGTGGTAAGATTTTACCCTGAACAAGTCAGTGTTAACAACATAATTTTTAAACCAAATGTTAAACAATTTTTACTGCATTTCATCAACATACAAGCACAAATAATTTTTCGATCCTAAATCAAATTTATTTTAAGTTACAAGACCATTGGACAATTGACAATCAACAAAAGAAATATTAAATAGGCAAAATAAATTAAATTAACATAAATATGTTCAAATAAATATTATTAAATATATTTAAATTAAATAACTCTAACAAATAAATAAATAAATAGATAGCTAAATAAAGTATATAATAACACAATACACTCTAAACTATACATAAAAAATTACTTTTGCAGCTTGTTCAAACTACTTATATTATATAAATGAGTTTAAACAATACAAATCTTATTTTATTGAGAGGGCAAAGTAATTGCTTTATGTTCAGTCTTATATTTTCATTTTCATATATTTTCCTACAACATGTAGGAATAGTGTGGAACCCAGTATTTCTTAGTGTAGTAATAACTTGGATGTAACTTAAATGCAAACTCACAAACTTATCTTTCTAGTAAACAATTTAAGTGGTCAGCTGTCACATCAAACACTAATAATTAAATGCGAATGGAAATAAAGGCTGTAAGGTGAACAGCAAAAAGTGCAACTGCAACAGATTTACCTACCTGAACTGATTCATATTACAGCTCAGATAAACTACCAAGAGATAAGTCACAATTTAAGTAAACTACAACTAGCCCTAACTCAAACACAGAGCAAAATAACAGCAAAAAAGCAAGCAAGCACTTGTGATACAATCCTCTCTGCATTGGATTCAACTCCAACGTTTCTGTCTGGTTTCTCGTGGATTTCTCTTGGTCTCTCTGAAACACATAACCAAGAAAAGAAACTAGCATATAGGCTAGCACAAACTGGAAAATCATCAGAAAATATCAAAAAAAAAAAAAAAGTTCTGGAACCACCAGGGGCCTCATGTATCAACGCTGCGTACGCACAAAAACTTTGCGTACACCAGGTTTCACGCTCAGAATCGCTCACGTTTGGATCTACTAACAATGAACTGAACGTGGGAATGTGCGCAGCTTCACGGCAGCTTTCTGGCAGGCGTACGCACATTTTTTGTGCGTGTCTGTTTTATTTCCATTGGCGACTCCTAGAGGCAGTTGTGTTAAATTCCTCTCTACAAAGTGTCTGAGCCATGCATTGGCAGCTGTATGAGACGGGTTCAGCAGGTATATAAGGTTTCCATACCATACAGTTGACCAGCTAAACATTAAAGCACAATTTGCAGCAGTCGCCTGTTTTCCCAATGTAATCTGAGCGATCTACCGCACGCACATTGCTATAAAGACACTATCTGAAGATGAATTTGCATGCGTGAATCAGAAACATTTCCATTCAATAAATGTGCAAATAAAATATGATGCTTATTGATATGAACTTACTGATGATTCCTACTTGTCTTTCTCGTGATAAATAGTTGGCAAAATCTGATATGTAGCGGGGAAAAAACAAGAAAGAGTTTTGGATTCGAGCCGAGTTCATGCTCGAACGTGTCAATACATGATCACATGCATCTTACGAGTAGAACCACTGAGACTGTTTAGCGTCCTGCAACATTTTACAGATTTAAACCACACTATTTCTTTTTTTTTATGCACTCAGTGCGATGTTCAAACCTAACTGTGTTGACCGCATCAGCTAAACTCTCCCACTCTATTTTTTTCTTTTGTTGTTAATTCCGGAGAACAAACTTGCAAATAACACCGCTTTTCTCCGGTCTACCTCCGAAAGCAGCACCTCCAATTTACATTCTGTTCAAAGTTTCTCTTTTTGCTTGCTTTTGACATTGCTTTTTCGTTGGGTTTTCCCATTAGCATAGTCATTAGCATATTCATACGGGGGAGGAGGCAGGGAGGGGTTCAGTGCTCGTGCATGTTGCGCTCAGTTTCACGTTCATTCAGATCTACAAAAGAATATGCGTGAGATTCGGCGTACGCAGTGTTTCATACATCTGAAATTTTTTCTGCGTACGCACATTTACAGCTTTGTGCGTACGCAATGTTTTAGTAAGATTTCCACGCAAGTCTTCGTACATGAGGCCCCTGGTGAGTAAATATTCAACTTTAGGTGAACTATCTCTTTAGCATTTAGCATTAGCATCTGTTTCATCTTACCAGTAAGGTCTAAATAGGATACAGCTGTGGATACAATTTATTGGGTAACTTAGTCAGTATAACTTCTGTTTTTACATTACTGTGACGATTGGGTTTAGCGTTGGGATAGTGGTAGACGTTAATAAAATATAGTTAATGGGAAATTGAATAAATAATATAAATAATTCACTTTAACTTCGGGCTGCAACCGTATCTGATCTCGCAACATCCCATCTTACCTTTGACTTGAAGCGTTGTGCATTGGAGTGAATTAACATCTGAAATGGAGCAGCAATACGCTCCAACATCACTCCAAGTCAAACCTCTGAGTCTGAGTGAGAAGTTTCCTTTCATATAGTCTGTAGGAAATGTTTCAGTTCTGCCCTTGAATTGTGGGTCTTGCTCATTATCCGTCCCTCTGCCGCTGAGTATGTCGTAAACATTCAAGCTGTCGTTTAATCTCCAGTGCGCGGAGATCAATTTCAGTCGACTGGGATCATAATAGCATGGAAAAAGTGCAGAACCTCCGATGAAACCCTCAAATGTTTTCTGCACAGATGCTGAAAACAAAAGGAAGTTAAGGCCAGAAATATGTGAAAGATGAAGTTGGTGAGTTAAAGTTGTACTGAAAATTTTAAATAAATTTTAATTTATTCTTTATTTACTCGGCCTCAGGTAGTTTAGAACCTTTATGAGTTTCTTTATTGTTGGACACAAATGAAGATACTTTGAAGAAAGGTAAAAACCTGTTTCCATTGACTTACATATTATTTGATTTTCTGCTATAGAAGTCAATGGATACAGCTTTTCAGCTCTATCTGAAATATCTTCTTTTGTGTTCAACAGAGGAAAGAAACTAAAGGAGGTTTGAAACAAGTAAAGGGTGAGTGAATGATGGCAGAATTTTCATTTTTGGGTGAACTATCCTATTAAGGCAAGACACTGCAGGCTTTTTTCAGTCTGATGGAAAGAAACCTACTTTGTTTTATCAAAATTCGTTTTTTTCTCATGAATTGAGTCACAAATCTCCACTTCAGAAATTTTCCATATACTACCTGACATTGACGTTAAGACTTTTGTTAATCCCAATTGTAAAGAGAGGGTTCTGGATGCAGACCTAGTGCAGTACAATCTGAGCTGCATCCAAAGCTTTTTAATGCACTCACCTAACAGCACCCCTAACCCCACCCATCACAGTGACGCCACTCACTCCATTGAGTGCATTGTGCCTGACATTGAATCGCTGAGCTTGCATCATAAAGGCTGCATCCTGATAATATTGGTTGTAAGAGCAACAATTAATAAATTGACTTCTAGTTGATCATTTGGAAAAGTGGCAGAAGATAGATTGTTCTAATGAATCATCTGTTGAACTGCATCCTAATCATCACAAATACTACAGAAGCCCTATTGGAACCCACAAGACATACTGAAGCCCTAAGATTCTTACAGAAAGCAGTCAAGTTTGGAGAAAGGAAAAATCATGGTTTGGGGTTACATTCAGTTTGGGGGTGTGCAACAGATCTGCAAAGTGGATGGCAACATCAACAGAGTGAGGTATAAAGACATTTGTGCTGCCCATTACATTACAAACCACAGGAGAGGGCAAATTCTTCAGCAGGATAAAGCTGGATTTATACTTTCCCCTGGCGCCACATCGCTTCTGACTGCGTGTGCACTTTGCGAAACGGATGAAGTTTTTTTTCCTGCTGCATTCACCCTTGTGATATTCTTTAAAAAGACAGAGTCAAAAGAAACTGACCGTAAATTCAAACAAATAAACAGAGAAGTAGAAAATTTCCGGAACTGTCATATCATTAATATTAATTATATATTATATGTATAAATATATATAAGATTTTAAAACTAACTATTTTTACAATGTTTATAAATTATGTCAATGATTATAAGGATTTTTATAACCATTCAAATATTTAAACATTTTTTTTTTACTATTTTTATAAATTATTTTAATGGTTAAGGATTTTTATAACCATTCAAGATTTTTTTAATCAAACTAATATCTCTGTTCATATCTCTGACATTATTACCTCTTAAAGCTTATTACAATATTAATACCAACAGAACATGAGTTGATCTACAAATATAGTTTATTATGGCAATAATAAAAGCAAAAAAAAAAGTACACTTACTAAAAAATACAGATGTTTTTGTCCACTCCACAATTCACACATTACTGTCTGGTTAGTTTCTGCCCTATACTTATGCTAAAAAGGCAATAATGATCCAAAATTCCTGAGCATTATCACCAATAAAGCCTAGAAAAGCAAGCATCGGTGTATTGTAAACCAATGGGTTCAAATATTCCTTTTTTGTTATTGAAGAAATGATTTGTTCAGTCATTGCCAATAGCCTAGTGGTTAAGTGCATAGACATATAGCCCCATGGTACTAACGGCGACCTGAGTTTGATTGCCGACTCTTTCCCTCTCTCTGCTCCCAATACTTTCTTGTCTGCAACCTCTACTGTGCTTTCTAATTAAAGTTGGAAAAACCCCTAAAAATTTAAAAAAAAAAAAAATCTATTATTTGTTCCTTCATTTTTATTTTGTAGCTATTAAATTGTTTTAAATTCAAAATTGTAATATATACACATTAGTGTAAAACCTATGAATGGTGAAAAAATTAATTTTTGTAATTGTGTACCTGGGTCTCCCCTTTTACCATGGCCTCTTTTGGCTTTAACTTATCTCTGAGGTTTTCCCAACTTTTTTAACAAAGACTTTCCTCCATTCCCACAGCTGTTGCAATTTCTAGCCAAGAATTATTGATCATCTGGGTATCTCTATGACTGGGTATCACGAATCATAAAGATGTGTGTACAGTCGTACCCGTTTCAGACAAAATCTATTCAAAGTAGTTCATATTCAACTCAAATCAAACGCGGCTCACACTGTTCACTCGACTCTCAAAAAAAATCAAGTCGAGTACACCCAAAGCCTTAACAAAGAATCTTAACAAGCACAGCTATGACGTGACGTTAAATTCGTTGCACGCACTCAAAAGCACTCCTTCTTATACTTCAGACTCCACATCAATGTTCCTGAAAACAAAGGTCAAAGTGCTCCAGGATTGGCCAGCCCAGTCACCAGACACATACATTATTGAGCATGTCTGCGGTAAGATGGAAGAGGAATTGAAGATGAAATCAAATAATCTTAATGAACTCTGGGAGTCCTGCAAGAACGCCTTCTTTGCCTTTCCAGATGACTTTATTAAGAAGTTATTTGAGTCTGCAGAGATGTATGGATGCAGTGCTCCAAGCTCATGAGAGTCATACACAATATTAATTATTTTTCCACTGCACCATGACTTTATATTCTATACTGTACATTATTTCTGTTAAGTTACAAGACTTTTGTCTAAGTAAAGTCAGACCTTACTGCCCTAATTAAATAATTTAAAAAAATCAAGCCATGATCATATTTTATTTTGGTAATATAAGCGTAACCTAGAGGCCTTTGCCTTTCATATAAGCCACTTTTGATACCAAATGATACAACTAGAAGTCAAGTTGTTATTTGTTGTTCCTAAAACTTATAGGTGATAGGTGATAGAAACTTTTGTCAGGTAGTGTACGCCAGACTTAACAGTTTTATTCATATCTCCTGTATTCTAATTTGAAGGTTTTAATTTTTAATAACATTGCTGTGAGGCGACAGTGCTAACCACTGAGCCACCCTGAAGCAAAACAAACTTTTTTTGTACAGGTTGTACTTGTACAAGTTAAATGTACAGGCTAAATTTAGATTTTGCATAGACTATAGTATAGTCAATCAACTGCAAAAGTAGGCTAATGTTTACCCTATTTGCCTGCAGTATCTTGTCTTTGATAAACTGTACATCCTTACCTTCACTTGAGAGTGATATCAAGAAACAGATCAGAAACCCACTGCAAAACAAACACAAAACATAGTCATATATTTAAACATTAATAAAAAAAAAAAAAAAAAAAACTGATTTCCCAGTAGCTACTACACACGTCTCCAGATGAGTTAGTTTTGTTTCTTTAATGCTGACTTTTCCTGAGGGGACAGAGACTTATGACAACAGGTACGACAGCGACACAGAGGTCAACAAACGTCACTGATAATGAAACCTTGTAGGTTACTATACTGACAGGAGTACTCATTTGAAGATATGTGAAGAAGATACATGGATCCAGTAAATGAGGAAATTGCTTGTTTAAATGTTTATTGATTTCCACCAATGCTAATAAACAATGAGGCGTTTTAATAATTTAAAAGCTGTTTCTAGCTGTATAAGATATGGCCTATTACTAGTATTATTATTAAATGTTTTATTTATTATTAAACAGGGCCTACAGTTACCATATCATATATTGCTGGTATTATTTTTAACTGAAATATGATGCAGCTGGTGCAGTTTGGCATCATATAGCAGCTAAAACTATAATCAGTCTTGGGCAGTAACGTCGCTACAAGTAGTGACGCTGGGTAAAAAAAGAAAACAAAAACAAGATAATTAGTGAAATGTATTCTATTATGTTCAGAAGTAACCAAGATATGTCAAGCAATGATGTGTTAAAACTTACAGCATTGCAGAAAGATCTAGACAATATTTATGAAGAAAAAGCAAAAGGTGCATTTGTTAGGTCAAGAAAAAAAATGGATGGAAGCCGGAGAAAAGAATACTAAATATTTTTTCAGCTTAGAAAAAAGGAATCGGGAAATTTCATCCGTTAACAAATTAATAATAAATAATTATATCAATGAGAATCCTAAGGAGATTTCTAACTATGCATTTCAATTTTATAGTAAATTCTATAGTTTCTTTAATCAACCCACTAATATAGAACTTTTCCTTAGCAGTTTATCAGAAAATACTAATAAAATTGACTCTGATTTTAGAAATTCATGTGATGAAGATTAAATTTAGTAGAAGTAATAGATTGTATAAACAGTCTTAAAGAAAATAAATCTCCTGGAAGTGATGGGTTGACAGGGGGATTTTATAAAACTTTTGGTAATATTCCTGCACCTTTTTTACTTGCTGTTTATAAAGAATCAGTTATAATTGGAGAGCTTCCAGCTTCACTAAAACAAAGAGTAATTACACTGATACCAAAATCTAACAAAGACAAATTGTACTTGGAAAATTGGAGACCAATTAGTTTGTTAAACAATTATACCAAAATTTACTCTCTGATATTAGCCACAAGAATTAAAAAATCTTTTAAATATGATAATTGATCAAGAACAATCTGAAGGGCTTTCTGAAGGGACGGTTTATTGGAAATAACATTAGATTAATTCTTGACCTAATTGACTATAACCATTTTATACTAGAGGATAGTTTAATATTATTTATCAACTTTTATAAAGCGTTTGATATTATTGAACACTCTTTTATGTTCAAAGTTATTGAATTTTTTGGCTTTGGTATTTTTTTTTCAAAATGCAATTCAAATTTATAATGGTTGCAATAGCTCAGTCCAATTATCTCAAGGGACTTGTCCAAGATTTAAAATGAGCCGTGGGATAAGGCAAGGCTGCCCTATATCGCCTTTTCTTTTTTTATTAGTTGCACAAGTAATGGCTACTCATATTAAAAAAGCAAATTTTTAATTTCAAGGAATTTCAGTGTTTGACAAAGAAATAGAACTAAGTCAATTAACTGATGACACTACAATTTTTGTAAAAAATAGTAAAGAAGTGAAGAATGTTATTAATTGTATTGAAGAATTTTTCTGAGGTCTCTGGATTAAAGATGAATAAGAGTAAATCTATTTTATCTGCTCTTAAAGACTGTCCCTTAAAAGAAGTTAGTGGTATTCCAATAAAAGACACTGTCACATACCTCGGTGTAATGATAAGCAAGGATTTAAAACAAAGAGATGAATTAAATTTTAAGCCCACTATTGAAAAGATCAAAAACAGTGTTGTAAATGAGGGCGATGCCAACCCTCTTGTGCACCACCAGAGGGAACCATCGCCAGAATTCTGATTCGACTCACGGACTCAAAATCCCATAAGCCCTGCTACCTGGCACTGATTACGGTCCAGGTGCAACTCATCAGCTCTCGTGTATATATACCACACTCACGCTCCGGTTCTTTGCGAAGTCTTGATTTGCCTGGCTGTCATTTCTGAGCGTTCCATACTTCCTGCTTCGGACTGATCTGTGTTTCTGACCCTGTGCTTGTTCTACGATTACGAAAGACATCTGCCTGCCCCTGATCTCCAGCCTGTTATTCTGACCAGTAAGATATCTGCCTGCCTTTGAACTTTTGCCTGTCCCACGTTCTGTCTCCTGGATTGCCCCTTTGTGTTTGTTTGTATGTGTGCTCTTAATAAAGCTTGCAAATGGATTCAATGCCTTCTGACTCATCACAACAGAAGACTTCGCCACTACAGAATCCAGCAGCTTTAGCACAAGTCTCGACTGAACTTTCCGCTCAAGCCACTCAGTTAGCCACCCATCATCAACAACTCACCCATCTAACTTCTCTCACGGAGGAACTGGTGAGAGCTATGCAGCAACTCCATCACCCGAATCCTGCAGTTACCCCGCCTGCTACCATGACAGCTTCTCAACCAACGCATGTCTCCAATGCTCCGGCTACCGTAAGTCCCCGATTAGCTTTTCCTGAAAAGTTTGATGGGTCACCTTCTCGCTGCAAAGGCTTCTTATTGCAATGCAAACTATTTGTTAACCAACAACCTGCATTATATCCCACTGATTCTAGTCGGGTGGCTTTTGTATGCAACCTGTTAACGGGGAAAGCGCTGGAATGGGCTACAGCGATATGGAAGGAGGAGGAATGTAACTATCCCACATTTGAAACTTTTCTCAAGCAATTTCGGGAAGTGTTCGAGCACCCAGCAGATGGGAGAAGCCCCGGTGAACAGTTACTTTCTCTTACACAGGGGCGTAACACAGCTGCAGAATACGCTCTGTCATTTCGCACTCTCGCCGCTCAAACTAACTGGGTTGAGGATACACTGAAGACGCTATTCAGACGGGGTCTGAATACCAATCTACAATCTGAATTGGCTTGCCGTGACGAAGGAAAGAAATTGAACAAACTCATTGAACTTACCATCCGTCTTGATCATCTGATTCGCAGCCGTAGAAATCCTTGCACACAGCTCCATGTTTCAAGTGACACGCCCCCTGATGAACCCATGCAACTGGGTTTCACCCGTCTCACCCATGAAGAAAGAATGCATCGATTGCAAAATCATCTATGCCTGTACTGCGGTCAATCAGGGCACAGGAAATCCACCTGCAGCGTACGACCTCAGACACCAGTTCAATCGGTGAGTCCTTCCCATGTTCCTGCACTTTTCAGTGTACTGATTCCTGTGATTATTAAATTTGATAAAAGAATGATTAATACTACGGCTCTCGTCGACTCTGGATCTGCCGGAAACTTTATATCTAAGAAATTTGCTTTATGTCACGAACTATCTCTCAGCTCATATGATTCCTGTCTTGCAGTGGAAGCACTAGACGGTCGTCCTGTGGGTGAAGGACGCATCCGTATGATTACGAATAAGCTACAGTTACAAGTTGGTGTTCTACACATTGAAGAAATGCAATTCTACATTATTGATTCAGTTAATCATCCACTGGTGTTGGGACTGCCCTGGTTAAGGCGACATGATCCTCATATCTCCTGGAGGGACGGACAGATATTGCAGTGGAGTGAGTCATGCATGAAACAGTGCATCCAGCCCATTCACAAAATTCCATTACGAACCACCAATGTGTTACCTGAACTCGTTGATGAACTAATCCCCATTGAGTACCATGACTTACATGAAGCTTTTAGCAAACAAAAAGCTACTCAACTTCCCCCACATCGACCAAGTGATTGTGCTATTGAGTTAATTCCAGGTTCAAGTCCTCCAACGGGTCGAATATTCCCTCTGTCACAACCTGAGCACAAGGCAATGTCTGAATATATTGACGAGGAATTGGCCAAGGGTTTCATCCGACCTTCTACATCTCCTGCTTCAGCTGGATTCTTCTTTGTAAAGAAGAAAGATGGCAGTTTACGTCCCTGTATTGATTACCGAGGGCTCAATGAAATCACCGTAAAATTCCGCTATCCACTACCCCTCGTACCTCCTGCCCTGGAACAATTAAGAAAGGCTAGATATTATACCAAGCTTGATCTTCGCAGTGCATATAACCTTGTCAGAATCCGTGCTGGTGACGAGTGGAAGACCGCGTTTTCCACCACTAGGGGGCACTATGAGTACACGGTAATGCCCTTCGGCCTGTCAAACTGTCCATCCGTGTTCCAATCTTTTATGAACGATGTCTTTCGGGATATGCTGGATCGCTGGGTCATCATTTACATCGACGACATCCTCATATATTCAAACACGATGAAGGAACATGTTGAACATGTACGTATGGTGTTGCAACGCATGATTCAACATCGTCTGTACGCCAAATTAGAGAAGTGTGAATTTCACCAGACACAGATCGCCTTTTTGGGATACGTCATCAGTGCAGAAGGGATTACCATGGATGATACGAAGGTACAGGCAGTTCAACGATGGCCGTTACCCCAGAATCTCAAGGAGTTGCAGCGATTTCTAGGTTTTGCCAACTTCTATAGACGGTTTATCAGAGGCTTTAGTTCAATAGCCGCACCATTAACAGCCATGACCAAACGAAATTCCCACAAACTATCCTGGTCCTCTGAAGCACGCCAAGCATTTAGCGATCTGAAGACTCAATTCACCACAGCTCCTATTCTCCGTCATCCCAACCCAGACCTACCTTTCATTGTGGAAGTGGATGCATCCAACACAGGAGTCGGTGCTGTGTTATCTCAACGTCAGGGTCAACCATCCCAAATGTATCCATGTGCCTTCTTCTCCCGTAAATTGACCAGCGCAGAACGAAACTATGATGTGGGAAATCGCGAATTACTGGCAATGAAATTAGCCCTGGAAGAATGGAGACACTGGCTGGAGGGGGCTAGTCAGCAATTCACCATATTAACTGACCACAAGAATCTGGAATATCTTCGCTCAGCCAAACGTCTAAATCCCAGACAAGCTCGTTGGGCTTTGTTCTTCACCAGATTCGACTTCATTGTCACCTATAGACCAGGGAGTAAAAACAGTAAGGCAGATGCACTATCCATGCTATCAGAGGATAAAACCCCAATTAGTGATGAAACCATTATTCCTACGAACTTACTAGTGGCTCCAGTACAGTGGGACATACTTACCGAGATCCAAGAGGCCAACCGAGAAAACAACCCTCCAGTAGACTGTCCGAATCACCTGATTTTTGTACCCAATAACATACGTACCAGATTACTGACCCATATTCATGACACTCCCAGTTCGGGGCATCCAGGCATCACTGCAACTTTGGAGTTAGTCAAAGCCCGTTTCTGGTGGCCGTCCCTCACGAAGGATGTAATTAATTATGTTCAGAAATGTAAAATTTGCCAAAGCACGAAGGCATCTCACCAAACCCCTGCTGGCCTGTTACAACCGCTACCGGTTCCGCAACGGCCCTGGTCCCATATAGCGGTGGACTTCATTACGGATCTCCCTGTTTCCCAGAACAACACAGTCATTCTCACGGTGGTTGATCGTTTCTCCAAGGCTTGTCGCCTAATACCATTGCCCAAATTGCCCTCTGCCTTTGAAACCGCAGAAGCCCTGTGCAATCATGTATTTCGAATGTTTGGCTTACCTGATGATATCGTCTCAGACAGGGGATCCCAATTCACTTCCCGGGTATGGTCCGCTCTCTGTAAAAATCTAAATATTAATGTTAGTCTCACCTCAGGATACCATCCTCAATCCAACGGCCAAACTGAACGTATGAATCAAGAAGTCATTCGATTTTTACGTTCCTACTGTCATCAGCAACAGCACGACTGGAGTCGCTATCTGATGTGGGCAGAATATGCACAAAATTCATTAATAAAGCCAGCCACGGGTATTACGCCATTCAAATGTATTCTTGGCTATCAACCACCCCTGTTTCCATGGTCCGGAGAACCCACTGAGTTACCTGCTGTCACGGATTGGCTGCAGCGGAGTGAGGATGTCTGGAACCAGGCTCACAGACATCTCATGAGGGCAGTCAGGAGGAGAGAGATTCAGGCGAACCGTCACCGACGCCAGGGACCCACGTATCAACCGGGGCAGTGGGTGTGGTTGTCGACACGAGACCTTCGTCTGAGATTGCCCTGCCGCAAACTCAGTCCCAGGTATGTAGGGCCATTCAAAATTGTACGCCAGATTACTCCAGTGTCTTTTCGCTTAGCCTTGCCTAATCATTATCGTATTTCTCCTACTTTCCACATGTCATTACTCAAACCCGCTGGTGGTCCACGAGAGGAGGCGGTTGAGGAGGAATCGGAAACCAGGACCCCTCCACCTGTCATGATCGAGGGCGAGGAAGCTTACCTCGTTCGAGAAGTGCTGGACTCTTGACGTCGGGGTGGCGCCCTCCAATATCTGGTGGACTGGGAAGGGTACGGTCCAGAGGAACGGTCCTGGGTGAATGCTAGAGATATTCTAGACCCAACTCTCACGGAAGAGTTTCATCAAAGGTTCCCAGAGAAACCAGCCCCCCGACAGCGCGGTAGACCCCGGCGTCAGGTGCCTTCTCGCTTCAGGAGCCGCTCGCAGGAGGGGGGTTCTGTTGTAAATGAGGGCGATGCCAACCCTCTTGTGCACCACCAGAGGGAACCATCGCCAGAATTCTGATTCGACTCACGGACTCAAAATCCCATAAGCCCTGCTACCTGGCACTGATTACGGTCCAGGTGCAACTCATCAGCTCTCGTGTATATATACCACACTCACGCTCCGGTTCTTTGCGAAGTCTTGATTTGCCTGGCTGTCATTTCTGAGCGTTCCATACTTCCTGCTTCGGACTGATCTGTGTTTCTGACCCTGTGCTTGTTCTACGATTACGAAAGACATCTGCCTGCCCCTGATCTCCAGCCTGTTATTCTGACCAGTAAGATATCTGCCTGCCTTTGAACTTTTGCCTGTCCCACGTTCTGTCTCCTGGATTGCCCCTTTGTGTTTGTTTGTATGTGTGCTCTTAATAAAGCTTGCAAATGGATTCAATGCCTTCTGACTCATCACAACAAACAGATATAATATGTGGTTAATGAGAGATCTGTCCTTATATGGTCATGTGTTGCTGTCTAAGGCAGAAGGAATTTCAAGGTCTGTATACATATTATTGTCAATGGAAACTTCGAAAAATGTTGTTTAGGAATTGGATAAAATTCTTTATGATTTTATTTGGCGTAAAAAGGCTCACTATTTAAAAAAAGATATTTTAAATAACAGCAAAGACTTTGGAGGCCTTGACGTGTTAAAATTTACATATCTCAATGAGGTATTTAAGATAAAATGGATAATTGAATACATTAAAAATAAAGAAACGTTGTGGCATATCTTTCCAAATTTTATATTTAACTCTTTAGGTGGCATAAATTTTCTTTTAAAATGTAATTTCTCTATTGATAAAATCCCTATTAAATTGGCAAGTTTTCATAAGCAGGCATTGTTGGCTTGGCAGTTGGTCTATAAACATAATTTTACACCTCATCTGTATTTTCTGTGGAATAATAAAGATATCTTGTACAAAAGAAAGTCTATATTTACTTAATCATCGTATGACAATGGAATATGTAGTCAATCAATTACTTGATGAACATGGATTGCTTTTGTCATACTCAGTATTCCTTAAAAAAATGTAAAGTTCCTGTAAAACCAAAAGACTATGCTCTTATTTTTGATGCAATACCAATTAAAGTTGTACCACTGTTGCGTAATTCAATATACAATGCGGACCAACAGCCAAAGACAAGTGATGATGTTTTATATATTGGTGATATTAACATTGTTAAAGATAAATGTAGTAATAGATATATTAGAAATGTATTTAAAAAGAATCAAATACCACCATCAACAGTCTTCTGGTCATCAAAATTTGGAAACATTGAGTGGAAAAAAGTATGGTTACTAACAAATACATTTTTTATAAGTAATAAAGTAAGACAGGTATCATTTAAAATTTTACACCGAATTTATCCTGTAAGAGAATTATTTGAACGATTTGGAGTTGATAGAGAAAACTTTTGCGATTTTTGTTGTATAATTAAAGAATCTGTTACTCATAGTTTTTTTCAATGTGTATACTCAAGATTATTTTGAATTGATGTTTCTAACTTTATTTCAAGGACATTTGGTACACTAATACAAATTGGGTTATATGATGTCATATTTGCTTTTGTACAAGATGGATTTGATTCAAAAACATGTTTTCTAATACAACTAATAATATTACTTGGAAAATACCATATTCATGTCAAGAAATAGGCCAAAGCTAAGCCAAATTGTGTTCATTTAAAGGAGATTAAACAATATGGTATTACATTATGTAACATAAAAAAACAGAAAAGCTGTAAAAACATATGAGGCATTATGTAAATTTCAATTGATTGAATAAGTTTTTTTTTTAAATATAATTATTATTATTATCTTACCTATTTATTTTTCTACCCATGGCATCTGTTTATACTTTGAATAACTGAAATAATTTATTTCATTCTATTTTTTTTATTATGTTCATGATGTATGTGTTCATGATGTTCAATACGATGTATTCTCTTGTACTATGTTTGTAAATATTACAATAAAAAATAAATAAATAAAAAAAATTTAAATACAAGCAGTGACGCTACTAGCTTAACTACATTTCTCAGTAGCTTGGCGGTAGCGTCGCTACTTTCTAAATCAAATAGCTTTTCAGTAGCATAGCTATTTTATTAGTCAAGTAGCGCAGTAGCGTCCACACAAGCTAAGTTAAATTTACAGATCGCGGATCAATAAGTGACGGCACTGACATTCACATAGCTGTGAGGCCGGTGATAGTAAATCCATATGATGGTTAGAATGAGGAATTCTTCTTCCTCCTGTTTTACAGTGTTCGACAACAAACTTTTTGGTGCGTAACAGCCATCGCCAACAGAAACTTGCTTGATGTAAAGATGACAGGGAGAGGAGTTATTTCTGAAGCAGGATTCCTCGTGACCATACCTCAAGAACATGTTAAGATGCTATAACTTATTTATATATTTTTCCAAAAAAATCCCTTTACTATAGTATTTGTTTCTGTTTAGTACAGCATATTATTTACAGTAACTGAACTGATCTATTATGGCTCATATGTTTCATAGACAGTTTTATTAATCACTAAGATATGATTGGCTTGGATAGTTACTTCGATTTCAAAATAAAAATTGCAAAAATAACTTGGATGTAGCTAAGCTACTTTTGCCTTATAGCTTTTAGCTTAGCTTTCTACATTTCCCATGGGGTAGCTTTTACTGTAACTTAGTTAAGCTACAATTTATGTAGAGTAGCTAATAGCTTAGCTCACTACATTTTTAAAGTAGCTTGCCCAACACTGATTATAACTTTACACGCATAACATTACGTCATATCGGTTATAGGACACAGACCTATATATTCTACATGCAGTAACATTTCTTCCATGTTCCTATGTTTTATAAGTAATTGTGTTAAACCAACCTGCCATGTCAGTTATTAATTAATTTCTACACTGGGTATATCTGCACAATCCGACGGTCGATTTCTGGAAGAATTAACAATTGTGTTACGTTTATCTATTCCTGAGGTACTCGTAAGGCAAAAATCTAAAGATATTTACAAATTTATGCTAACTGAAGCTGAACAACAAGCTACAAGCTAGACTACCAGCTGGTGTAATAATGCGCCTTTTGTCCTGGACAGAGAATAAAGACATCTATGTTACTGAGTTGCATCGACAATTTCAGCACAACATACCTTCTGAACATCACGTAGCAAATTGAAATTCGTGGAATCGAATATTTGTTGTGGAAATTAAGCTGTACAAAACAGCTTATCTTGAGTTGTACGCAATGTCATGCGCAGTTTAGCTATAACATGACATCTTCGTACTGGATTTTTCCAATGTATATTTTAAACATATGGTAAGTATATTTTATAACCACATGGCCAAATAACATGCGTTTTAATAATATTAATAATAAAAATAAACTTTATTAAATTTAAAATTATATTTTAGGGTCAGAAAAAATCCTTTATTAGCAGATTAGTCAACTTTAAGTTCTATAAGTTAATGCATAATTGATGATGGGGCATATTATAATGCAAACCGTTGTACTGCGGTCAAGCCACACGCCAAGTCAAAACGAACGGTCATTCTACATAGATACACTAGATGTCGCCTGGCCTAATGTTGTCTATTGGACGGAATGCGTCAATAGCGCCGCCATCTTGCTACAGGGTAGCGCTCCTTTGAAATGAATGCGGGACTAAGGTACAGTGGAGGACTGTGGCCAACCAAAGCCAGAGATATACACATATATCTGTGATCGGGAGTTTTCCTGGATGTTAGTGTGTAATTTTTTTTCTAATTACGAAAATTATAATTTTACATCACTTTTCTACATTGATGGATCAGTGACCGCACATGCATTACTGACAAAAAGCTTGTGTTTGTGTGTACAGAAATGTACTATTCACCCTCCCTGTTAAATTTAATATGATCCGTGTCCTGAAACACACCTCCTCTCCTGCTTTCACTTCTCATACTGACGGAGGGAGAGATTCGTTTGTGAATGAATCCCCCGAACGACTCTTTCACTAACGTTAGCCGACAATAATACAAGTTTCTGTCACCGCAGCACGTCGTTGTCATATTTCTTTTGCATTGTTTGCTGATTTTATTAAACAAAACTAGCATAAGCCGAGTGTTTAGTGCGAGTTGGAGCTGCTTTGCCGTATGGTGTATCCAGTAAGTGACTGTTATCATCAATAACGTTACCTGATTAGCACATAAGTTCAGAACAGAAAAAAACTTAATATTACCTATGAAATGTTCTGCCTTTGTGCTTTGTTTTCTTTGTTTGCTCGTTATTACACCCGTAAACAGCGCTAAAGTCCCGCATCTTCACGTAATAACACTGTCTTGACTAATGCGGTTGAATGACAATTGTCCTGGGAGCACTGTACCAATGTGGCGGCGCTATTAACGCATGCTGAGGGTACCTATGCGATATCTAGTGTATATATCTATGGTCATTCTAGCGCAGTTACAAAATAAAAGTCAATAAAATGCCATAAACGATACTGCTCTGTCACTGTATTAAAAAGGTATAATAATACAATTGATTTCAAAAGCCAGCTACACTTAGATTGATTGTAGACATTGCCACGGTGGCAACTAAACCTTTTTCATAGACATCTGATGTGATATTATAATTACAAGTTGACCCTGATTAAAAATTAAATGAACAAATAAATAAAATAAAACTATTAGATATTCCAGGCCAGTTTTATTTCAGATTGATGGCAAACTTTACCACAGTGTCAACTAAATCTTTTTATGGCCATCCGATGTGGAATTATAAAATAAGAACCCTACCTGACACAAAACACCATCTGGCCCTGATTTTAAAATATTATTAAAATAAAATCATTAGATATCACCGGCCAGTTTTACCTCTGATAGTAAATAGTACAGATAATAGACATTACTACAGTGTCGACTAAACTGTTGCATGACCAGAATGACCATTCTTTTTGAACTAGTAGCTGGCCTGACCACACTGAGGTTGTGGTGCAGCCATGATGAAAAGTACATAACTTAAAGTCATGCATTATTAGAAAGGGGACCGGTCAAAAATAAATTCGGAAGGATTTAGCAATAAAATTCCATACATTAATAAATAAAAAAAAGACAGTTGTTAGCCAGGGCGAGGCAGTGGCGCAGTAGGTAGTGCTGTCGCCTCACAGCAAGAAGGTCGCTGGGGGGGCTGGTTCGAAGCTATTCGCTCAGTTGGCGTTTCTGTGTGGAGTTGCATGTTCTCCCTGCCTTCGCGTGGGTTTCCTCTGGGTGCTCCGGTTTCCCCCACAGTCCAAAGACATGCAGTACAGGTGAATTGGGTAGGCTAAATTGTCCGTAGTGTATGAGTGTCTGTGTGAATGTGTGTGTGGATGTTTCCCAGAGATGGGTTGCGGCTGGAAGGGTATCTGCTGCGTAAAAACTAGCTGGATAAGTTGGTAGTTCATTCCGCTGTGGCGACCCCAGAATAATAAAGGGACTAAGCCGACAAGAAAATTAATGAATGAATGAGTTGTTAGCCAGTTTATTTTAAAGGTTTCATTAAGAAACCTGTCATGCACCTGTCAGTTTAAGATTTTGAGGTTTTTGGCTTTTCATAAAATTAATATAATCACACTCTATTGCACTTAATAAATACATGTCTGTGGATTTCAATTAAATTTTTAGAGGGTGCTTTCTTCAAATTCACTTTTATTTCCCTCATAAATCTCATAACTATTTTATGCATATCTATATTATTACGCCTTTTTACTAAGGGATATGTTAATACACAATTTGCATGGCTTAATGCTTAAACTTAGCATTTTAGAAATGTGGTACAAAAAGTTTGCAAATCTTTATGCAATGAGTCTGAGGTGTAGTATGGAGAATACTACAGTATTTTTTTTCTTGCCCAAGACTTCCCAGTAGGCCTGCAGTGCGTGTAAACAAAATAGCAGAAGAAGGCAGTAATGCAAAGCAAAATACCAGAAGATGGCAGTAATGCTACGCAAAGAATGCAATCTTTTGCCAAAAGCCTACAGTGCGCAAGATGGCGCTGCAAAATCTCTCACCACAACCGCCAAGCAATAACAACAGCAGCAGCAGAGGAAGAAGAATCGGGAAGAGCGTCGCACATAATATAAACAGAAGGAAGGATGCCGACTTCTTAGTGCGCTTATTTACATTTCTGCTAAAAGAAATGTTTCATCAGTGCCTTCACCGTTTAGAAACTCATGCCTGATACTTACAGAGAGAGCTTCAGACAGGCGTGTGCTGTAAGTATGGCGTATGTGACGTTTACAAGACCTAAATCAGCTCAGATGTGTAATGTTCACGTTCATCGAGTGCAACAACCAAAGATAAACACAAGGGTTTATATTAATCATGTTCATGATATCCCCCCCCCATATGTTAACTTGTAGCTCGTGAACGGTGCTTTATATATTTTGTTTTTTCTTGTACTTTTATTTAAAATCACAGGCAGACGTCAATGAGATATTTTGGACGTTTTGGTTCAGTGTAGTAGAATTTTGTTATAACGTTAATGAATTTTACAGATTTTAGATTATTACATTTTAGAATCAAAATGTCAATCCCTCAGCTTGAAAAAATAAGTGTGGACGGCAGATATATTAGAAAATAGTACTCATATCTATCTGTCTGTCTGTCTATTTGTATATGTAGTCCAAATTGTTTAAATAAACAAAAGTAACACACATATTGAAAAATAATAAAAAATATTAAAAAAAATCTAATGATAAATAATACTTTTATTGCGTAAATGGCTTTTGTATACACTCTATCATTGTAATATTGTGTATTAATAATATATTTTTAAAATATTGTCAAATTTAGCACACTGATTTGTTGATGCTGATTAAATTTATTCATGTGATCATTGAGATAACATTGGTTTTTTATTCATACATTTGTACTTATAGACATATACACACATAATTTAAGAAAAGTATTATTTGCAAATTCTATATAGGTTAGTCATATTAGTAGCCGATGACTAATAAAGTACACCATTGTTCTCACTTAAATAAATGGTGGTAAGGTTGTTTTGAAGTCATATTTACATAAAACTTCCAACTGAATATTCAAATTAGAGTATGAAACAATATAGGGATCGTGTCACAATTTGTAACTGAATGAACGTGGTAAAATAAAACCAACTTTACCTTAATCATGTTAGCAGTAACTTTCAATTTTAATTCAATTTATTTATTAAGCACTTCAAAACAACACAGTCGACCATAGTGCTGACAACAGAGAGTAAAACAAAAACCCCACAAAAAACATTTTACTCTGTGCTAAAAGCCAAATTGAACACGTGGATTTTAAGAAGCCATTTAAAAACAGTAATGTAAGAGGCTTGGCTAATATACAAAGGCAACTCATTCCACAAGTTTGGTGCAGCCACAGCAAAAGCCTTCTGAGCTTTTGACTGGTCCTGGGCACACCCAGGAGGAGCTGGTCGTCTGACCTGAGTGAACGGGAAGGTGTGTAAGGACAGAGAAACTCAGTGAGGTAAAAGGGTGCAGTACCATTCAGACACTTAAAAATAAATAAAAGTAACTTAAAATAGATCCTGAAATGCACGGGCAGCCAGTGAAGAGAAGATAAACTTTAAAGACATTGCCTTAACATTTAATAATGTTAAGTAAAATTTGAGCTCAGAGCTCAAACAATTATAGTTTAGCACCTGAAAAGGTTGGGGAAACACATATAAATATACAATTTAACTATTAAAATGTTTTTTTATGTTTCCTTCTAAAAGAAAAATCTATAAAATTAAATAAAACCCTTAAATACATTAGGCTTTAGTAATAAATGTTAAATCGACTGCTTTGCGATGGCTTTTTTTTGGCTTTTGTCAATATCTATGTCTAAACATAAAAAAAACTAATTAAGATGCAAATGAAAAAAAAAACAAGATAATTTATGATTTTATGACACAATAACGAAAATCTTTGTTTTTCTGAAACCACTGGCAGATATTTGTTCTTGTATGAATCATACATTTAACAGATTTTCTTATTATGTTCATTAGTTCTCTTTATTTGATCTTAATTTCTTTTAAAAGTTTGTTACCCTTCTATTAAATGCCCTTAATAAACTTATATTAATATTGCTAAAAACCTTTTTAAACATGTGCACGCACACAAAATTCTAAATGAAGTCGATTTTTTTTATATTTTGTTTTAAAAACAAATTCATTATAAGGGCTCTAACATGTTGCACTGGTGCACCTGAAATTACAACCACATCGCATTAAACATAAC